ACATAATTTTTATATTTTAAATATTTTAAAATAGTCTATATATTCATTGTAAAGTATTCTAATTATGAAATAAAATATATTTACTTCATGGCCATTAAATTGCATGTACTAAAAATTTGTTTGTTGGAATTAAACACAAATTTATTTTAACATTCTTAAGAATATATTACTTTAAATTAATGTTTCCCATTTCTCTGATGTCATACACGAAATTTTATTTTTCTATTTTTTTTTGCATATTTACGGTTTTTACTGCTATTTTGCTAATATAAGGTTTTTAGTGCTATTTGTTGGTATATTTTCACATAAATACCTATTGTAGGAGCTATTTTGTTAGTTTGGAGTTATAAATACTGTTTATGTGCATATTTTTAAAAACGCGGTCTGTCATATAATAATATAATAGGTACGATAATATTACGATATCACGGCCCGCCGCAACAGACCGCGTTCTGTACTCCTGTGTGCTCGGACTGTTGTTATCGTCGATTAAATCTAAAATCGGACAATTCCGTGCGTTTCCAATAAATTGTTTATTTTTAAAATCGTGTCAGTCACATCGTACTATCGCACTATCATTGGGTTCGTTGTATTATCGTGCTGTCGTTAACCACTGAACACATTAATTTTATTTTAGTGTTCCGCCGTCGTTTAGATGTTTCGTGTATTCGATTGATCGTAAACTGTTGTATATACTCTCGTGTCCTTTTTTTTTTAGTGTTTTTATATTAATTTAAAAATGCCTAAAGTAAAATCAAATAGTTCATATTTAAAAAAAAAATCAGTAAAATTAAATATATCTTAAATTTCATGTTTAATAAAAATTTTATTTTGCATATTTTCCAATTTTTAGTGCTATTTGTAGCGCTTATATTAGAGGGTATATTAATGTTTTTATGTGCATATTTAAGCGTTAAAAAAGGCACGGTGTACCTTTGGCATTTTATACAGTATAAATTTGGAAGTTGGAATTATTTATTGTCAAAGGTATGTTAATAAATAATAGTAATTATTTGTAGTGGCAGTTCTAGTGTAATGGCAGGGTAGGCAGCAGCTCGTACTTTAAAAATTTTGTCCTAGAACTGTGACCGATTATTTGCTTTTTAATATTATGAATTATATGTCTTAATTGTCGGTGTTAACATACTATAGTTTATGTACTTATTACCATATTAAATAATACTTAGATATTGAATTAAAATCAATAATTGTTAACCATGCATTTAAACAAAACTATTAAAAAATATTTTGATATGGGACTCAAATATTCAGAAATTTTGGAATTTTTACACAAAAGTGATGGTATTTTTACGAGTTTGCGCACTTTAAAGAGAAAATTAAAAAGTTTATCTATAGCTCGCCGAAAAATTTTTTCATCTCTTGCTGCTGTCACTGATTTTTGTTATCACAAGTCCAACATTCATCTCAATTTCATGGCTACAAATGGATGCATTTATAATTATTTTACTGTTACATAAGAAACAGTTCAATGTTTGTTGAATGACTTAGATCCTGAAGGTGTAACTATTCGAAAAAGAAAAAAAACTAAGAAGGCGATAGTATCATAATAAAGGTCATAATTACCTGTGGCACACTGATAGTTATGACAAATTAAAACCCTATGGAATTTCTATTATTGGATGTATTGATGGTTTTTACTTTTTCTCGTTATATTGTATGATTTGAAGTGGCACCAACTTGTAAAGACCCTAAAGTTATTGATGGATTTCTTTTTTGAATTTTGTTAGAATGCTTAAAGGTTGTCCTACTACATTGAGAACTGATGCAGGAACGGAAAACCGACATATCAAACAGATACAGAAATTTTTGCATAGGAATAATCAACCAAATAATCGACCATTTTTGTAAGGAACTAGCCCAGCTAACCAAAGAATTGAAGCTTGGTGGGGTAACATTCGAAAACACTACTGTCAATTTTGAATGAATTTATTTTAGTCATTAAAAGGTGATGGATATTTCAACAGATCATTTATTAATAATAATCTAATTAGATTTTGTTTTATTAACATAATTCGAGTGAGTTTAGTGTCATAACTCATTATGTTTTGCTTAGACTTTAAAATAAATTCAAATTTTTATTTTAAGAGTGAACTGAATGACATGAATAAAGAATGAGTGGAACAGTCATAAAAAATTTGAAGCACCAAGAATTCAATTGCACCATCAGGTCGTTTAACTAGCATGTTCATTTGTGAAACTCTGATCATATCTGTTAAATGTATAGAAAGAAGACATATCAACATGTAAAGATGAATATGTATTTGTTTCTAAATAAATATGTGATGAAACTGTTTTTAAGTTAAGTCATGTTTTAATTAAAAAAATAATTTAGTTGTAACAAATGATGTCTATGATGCAGTAAATTTATACATTGAGCAAAATATATTATTTGATAAAATGCTTGAAAATAGAAGTTAATTTCATAAAACATTAATAGCATTTTTAGTTCTATAAGTAGTTTTCTATAAGACAATATATTTCTCAATGCTCATATCATGTTATTATTCTATAAATTAATATTTATAAAAGAAACACACACATATATAATAAATTAACAAAACTATTTAAATGACAAGATGCAATATATTTTCAGTTTTCCAGAGTGAATTTTTATTTACAAAATGTATACCTCAATTTATACATACAAATCAAACAACACTATTACACTGATAAGAAAAATAAAAATATTATTCAGTACAATGCAATTTGTATACAATATTTTTAAATATAATACTATCCATATAAAAACAAATCATTTAAAAGATGCAATATACTTTCAGTCTTCTTGAATGAAATTAATAAAAAAAATGGTTTATATGTAATACTTATATGATAAATAAATAATTAAAATGCAAAAACCTACACAATATCCATTACCCAAATGTTTGATAAGAGAATACAATTTAATTCTTTTCGAAAATCTGTAAAGTATTCATACTTGGAAGGAAGCTCTAAGGTACCAGAACAAGTATGAGCTACAGGTGCACGAGCCAAGCCAATGGCGTTAGTGAATTCTACAATAATTATATTTTGTGTAATAACATCAGCTCCGGTAGAAAATCTTAAAAATTTCTGTCGAATCTCATTAGTTGCTTCCTTAATAAACCTTAAAAAGACCAAGTATTATGATATATGAATAATAAGTACATATAAAAATAATTTTGTGTTAATGATATAAACCTACTTTTTGAGAAATCCAAAAGTCTTAATTTCATCAGTATTGGTTTCATTGCATGATAAAATATTTAGAATATTTTTAGCAGTTGGCTCCATTGATTTGTATAATGTACGTAGATTTTCTTCAGTTATCAGTGTTTTCATTCCAACTTCTTTAAGTTCTATATGAAATTGCTCAATAATAAAATGTGGTTTTTGTATGAACTCATAATGGGATATTTCTTCCAAAAGTACACTGAGATTGAATTCATTGGGTACTACTCGGCATTCAAGAGTGCTAAATACATCTAACAGGTCGTCCTTTTCTACAGATGAAATATCTTGAAGCGCACAATTTAATATTTGCTTATCACTTTCACCAAGTGTTAGCAAAAATGTAGGAATTAATTGTGAAGTTACACAACCATATAGCATTTGTTCAATTACAGGCATAGCTAGTTTAATAGGTAAATATTTAGCATTAATCCAACCAACATACAATATTTTAGCCATTGACTTCCACTCTTCCTCTTTAAAGTCATGTCTTATGCACGGAATTTTGACGTTTGTACCAACTGTGCATGTTTCATACATAGTGGTCCAAAACTCTGTTATTGCATCTCGAAAAACACCACCTGCGTCTAAGCCTCTTTCAGACTCACCATTTGGAAGAATAAGTTCAACCGTTAAGTTTGAACATTTTTGTTTGTCGATAGTTTTAAATGCTTTGATCATTTCCTCAAAAACATTACCTCGATGAAAAATGAGATGGATGTGTGGCATGTCAAGAACATCTTCGTTGATAATACTTGAATTAATGTGTGGAACAGCAGAATAACAATTCATTTCAATTTCGTTATAAATCGCCTGTATTATTTCACCTATAGATAAAATATTACATCATAGTAATTGTTTTTTTTTGAAGAATGTATTAATCAAACTAGATTGTGAAAAAAATTTAAATTAGAAATTTAAATAGTTATTTATTTATTCATTATAGTTATAAAAATATTTTACTTTACAAATCTACAATTTTTTTTATATGCATGATTATTAAGATGAAACTTGTGATCAGATTGGTAAAATAATTATATGGGATGCAATATTTCTATTTAAAAAACTATAGGAGTGATTAAGTTATAATAAATTGTGTTATTTAAGGGGAGCTATGTCCTTTTGTCTTAAATATATATACCTATATACTATTTACCTTGATTATTCATGATATCGTTTTGTAATACAAGAGTAGGTATTACATCTGGTTTCTCAATATTATTCATAGTTGATGAATGTAATGGTATAATATCAGAATCGCCTTCACAATAATTAATGTTTGGTATAATTGCTTCTTTATCATCAAAATTAGTTCCTGAATAAAAAAATATATTATACTTATAATTAATATGATATATATATATATTAAGTTAAGTGATCAGTAAAAATAATAATACATACCTTTAATAATATAATCATCAGTAAAAGAAAATTCTGGAGTTAAATTATTAAGCGGATCAGGTGTTATAGGATTTATATTTTGTATAGAAGTTTCAGTATAATTTTTTGAATTTTGAATAAATGGGCGAATACCACTTTTCTTACTAGTAGCTAGATAATATCTCAGTTTTAGTAGACCTAAATAAGTATATTACTTAAGTACATAAATAGAAAAACTTAACATTATGATTTAAAATATAGTTACCAGTTTTTTCATATAATTCTATGACTGTTGTTTCGTTTTCAATAGGTTTTCTTTTAAAATCAAACATTTCTACATATAGCTCTTCCCAACGACCAAAAATTGAAATATTTTCTTGACCAAAAAATAATTCTTTCGATATTTGAAGCAAATCATCAGGCTTTGAATCTTTGGGACACTGAATACTTCTAACACCACCACCAGATGATTCTTTAATCTATATAAATTAAAAAATATTAAAAAAATAAATAATTTTAAATTTCTAGTATAAAAGGAAAACAATTTAAATTAACTAAAATATATGATATTAATTTTAAATACATTTATAGTGCTAACCTGTTTATATTCATTAATTTTTTGATCAAAATGGAGCCAACCAATCTGTATGGTTCTGGTTGATTTGAATGCATTACCCTTGAAGGTTCTGAAATTAAGTTTTTGTTAAATTTTAATTTGTAATAGGAAGTAGGAAATTATAAAAGCTTTACTAGCTTAACTTACTTTACAAGTGGTTGAACAGTCTCATCAGAACTACACATTTCACTGAATGATCTTCTACCTTCATTTTTTACTTTGTATTTCAACTTATCTAATAAATAATTATTTTTATTTTTTTTATAATGATTTTGTTGGGACCAGTTGATTAAAGCCATTCTATCACCATATCCGGGTAACCAATAGCGTAATTTTGGATCATCTTCTTTTGAAATTGATATAACTGCTCTATCAACCTATGATCAATTAACAACTTAATTCATTTTAAATTAATATATATAATTATTATTGAAATAAAATTTACAATTACAATGTGTATACCTATAAATAATTAGTACAGTACAATATATATTATATTAAACAATATGTCAATATAATAATTTAAGAAAAAATAAAATGTTTAGAATAATGTATAGATACATAGAATATAATATAATACCTTATTAGAATCCATTTCTCTGGCCACTTGATAAGCATTATGGATGTTTCTGCTTTTTAAAAAATCAAGAATAGTATTCATAATACTGATGCTATTATACTGAAAAATTATAATATTTTATAAAAAGAAAAGAATATTTAACAAATTTATTTTTAATGCTGAATGTTGAACACAACAATTTACTTCGTTGATAATCATTGCCCATTGGTCTATAATCATCACTAAATACTAGATAGTTAAGAATTGAAATTTACCATACTTGGTATATTTAAAGAATGTATGAAACATGCATAGTTGGTACAAACGTCAAAAAGTTAACAAAACAAAATCTAATTTGATTTTTATCAATAAGTGATCCGTTAAAATATCCATCATCTTTTAATGATTTAAAAACTTTAAAAGCACCCACAAACCTCATTTCCAATAATATAGCGAATTGTGTCAGCGCGTACATTTGAGTTGCGTTAAACGATAATTACGAGTTATAATAATTGATAATAATGAATTGTTATAATCTATAATAATAAAATAAAAAAAAACATACAGTTGGCCTTTCGACGCTTCCGTATGACAAACAAGAATGGCGGGCCAATAAATTTTTTACGGCGTACTGGCAGGGCGATAACATATAAGTAGGTACCTTTTTTTATATATATATATTACCTTTTTTTTTCAGGGTTTGAATCGACGACGCCTTGGGGACTGCTTTCGTATAACTTCCACGAAATATAATATACTAAATGAGTATTGCGATTTTTGTTTAATGAATTTGTTTTTATACTGAGTTTTAATTTGGTAATACTAAATTATATTGTAAACTATGAATAAAAAAAGTAAAAATTTTTACATGAAAAAAGGGCTCGATTTTCTTTTGGCTATTTTTGATCGTGTTTTAACCAATTAGAAAAATACTAAGTATTTAAGTTATTTTTTAGTTTTTAACATTTAATTAAACTATATAAACGAAAAAATCCATGAAATTTTACTAAAACGCGAAAGTATAATAAACAGTAAGAAACGTGGTAACAACTAACCGTCTTGGCGGGAAATAAAGAGCGAAAACAAAACATTCCGTTACACAATTGTATCACATATTATCTCGGACGAGATTCCGGAGGGCGGAGATTCGTCGTGAAGGTACGGCACCACTAAACGCGATTTGTAATTTTACGTTTTGCAATTTTACTATTTTATCAAAAGTATATAAAATAACTATGACATGGATGTACTGAAAACATCTGCGTAAAGTATCAACCCGGGTGTGATAACTATTGTTCCCACCTTTTAGTTAAAAATTGCTATACTTGGAGATAAAATTATTTTCTCTTTTCACGTTTATAATTATTTATATAGACAGAATGCGTGTTAACAGTCACAATCGTGTATAAAAATAATATGAAAGACATCACTTCAGATAACACAATAACGTATAGAAAAACTTACAGACTATCGTCTGTAAAATACTAATCAGCTAGACCACCGTCTTTTATTATAATCGTAATATTGAACCGTTTCTGGCTAATGTAATTTTAAAGATTCTATTTACACATCTTTATCTATGTCTTTTTGTATTGAAGAACATACCTACAACTAATAATGCCTTAATTTCAGATACTCCTGACTGTAACAAACAAGGCTAGTACGTTTTCAGTCTAAGACCGCTAAACTCGTACATATTATTTTCATCCGCCGTCTTTAAAAAATATTTAGTGAGTTTTATTTTTTATCAGACTAAAAGATACCGACTAAATCTTAAAATTAATTATTTATTTTTTTAGAATACATTTTACTTTTTAAAATGGCATACTGTGTATTAATTTTTGTTATGCGACTGGCGATTGTCGATTTTTTAATACCATCATCGTGGAGAGCAAGAAATGGCGAAGTACCACTTCTTAATATGGATGATTTAATTTATTTACACGGTGTAGAATTGTAAGTCTGTTTTATTTTTATTTAAATGTTTTAAATTTTGTTTTAATTCAACATTTTATTTTCAAGTGTTAGGCAACGTGCTGAAGAAGCAGTCGAAGAGGAAGCAATAGCTCAGGAAGAAGAAGCTGCAGCTTGGGAGGTTGATAATGATGAAGAAAATACATCTGAATTAACCCAAGAAGAAAAAGAAAATTTTCGATTACCAATTTCGATAATAGCTCCTGAAATGAATCTCGGGTTCAATTTTGTAAATATATTATTATTAGATAGATTTACGTGGGAGGATACAGTTTATCATACCGATCTATTATCATTCAATACTGTAGTAATGATGCATTTTGATAGATATACGTCAGAAAATAATATGCATTCCAAAATTGATTGGAAAGTGAAATTAAATTGGTTTAACAATAGAGTTGATTCGGGGAGTTCAATAATGCGTAGAATCAAGTATAGGCCTTTAATAGTAGATCTAAAACTTACTAATATCCCATCAGAATATGAATTCATAAGGGCTAATTTTTTTTGTTATACCTATGATGAAATGTGTTATATTTTAAAATTTAATTATATCTTTGGGCATTTTGCTTCAGAAAGAAACATTATTTTTTCAAATTACATAATTTCAGAATACATTTCGGTAGGTGGATCAACCAATGGACCTACTACCACAAAATATTTCTGTGGTAATGGTGCTACATGTCTTATAGAATATAATTATAATAATAGTCATGAGTTTATTCAGTTAAACACTCGTACAAGATTGAGTGTTGATTGTGTAATTGTTATAGATGACTTATTAACAATATTAAAAGAATTTAAAAAGTGTGTTGTATGTGAACGTCGTCTACAGCTGTGGGCTGTGCATCATGAAGTAGAATTCATAAAAGAAGCTATTTTCGACAATAATGTAAGTCGTTTAGATATGGCTGAAAAAATATTTACTATACTACATCATACATAAGTTATATCCTTCCACGTGAATCGATCTAATTTATCATGTTTTTTTTTTTAATACAATATATATATATATATCTACTTAAATAAATTATAATTATTATTGTTTTAATTTTATAAATAAAAATTGTTGTGTCATATAATATACAAATTTGGTTTTTATCTAATATTTTAAAAATATTCAGAATGTACGCTAACATGAATGATTAGTGCTACGTCATACACATTATCAAATCTCATCAATGAATTCGTTGGATTCAAACAATAATTATTACAATGTAATTATATCACTTAAAATTAATATTTTAATTATATTTACACATTTTTTAAGCTGAATTGTTTAATTTTATAAATTCTTAAGGTCTGTGTGTACTAATCCTCTGTGCATAGTTAGTTTAAACTATTTTTAATCCTATTTTTACTATGCTTTTCAGATTGTTCACTGTTTATAATCGCATATTTTTAAAATTGTATAACATAAATTATATAATTAATAGCAATTTTGCATTATTTACAGATACTATTGGTTAAATATAGTTAGTTTTTGTAGCTTTTATTGCTTTTCAAGAGAATTAAAATCAAAAACACATTAGATAAAATTAATAAAGGTAGCTTTAGTCACATAGGTATTCGTAGCTTAGTCTTAAATAAAATATTTTATTTGGTAGAAAAGTATTGGTAATAATAATATTAAAACAAATTTAATTTATATATAGTGGATAATTTTCAATAATCACTATAAAATTATAGCTAAAATGCTATGTAAAAATTCTTAAATTGATTTTGTCAATAAAAGTATGTATTTCAAATATGGTTGTGTCCAACATTGCTTAATAATTATGTTTTTACTATGATATAACTTTGCAACTTTTATGGTACTGAATGCAAATCATTATCATTATTAATTGTTAAAACATTAAGCTTCAACATATTCTTATTATATATTATTATAATATTATTGTCACCAATTTGCTTCATTCCAACTTGTTTGGATTCTTCCTATAAGCCTTTACTTATGCTTTATATTATGTTCTATAGCCTATGGGTATTAAAAATAGTTAGGGTTGCTTGAAATATTGTGGTATTTTTCATTATTTGACTATACAACTTTTGGGTTTAAAGATGAAAATAGTTATATTTATTATTTTAGAACAGATGAGCCTAAATCAGATGCTTGTGTGTGTAGTTGCCACTTTCAAGGTAGAAATAAATTAAATGGTCCTACTATACTTCCTCATCGTTTAAATCAATTTGACATTCATCATTTTACACTAGAAAAGAAAAAGATTCGAAAGAACTCTTCAAAAATTACTATGAATAAAAAGACAGAAAATGAAATAATTTGTTAATTTGAATACAATACTGCGCTTGATCTTGACAATGAACCAACAAAGTCTAACTCAAGGGTATTATTCATTTTTTGAGTGTTAAGAATTAATATTATAATAAATTGCATTTAATTTTAGTGTATCTGAAGTAATTAATCATCAACCTTACTGACTATACTAAAAATGAAAACTATTTTCTGAAAAATAAAATTTAAAATTAAAATTGAAACTAAATACATTAAGTTTGTCATTCATATTTGAAAATTTAGTTCAAAATCAGGAGTTATTAATTTATTATACTGGCATATCATCAAATGAAATATTTATAGCTCTTTACAATGTAGTCAAAAATGTAGAGATAAAATATAATTTAAGCTGGAGTGTTGGAGAAGTATCAGTAAAATTGATCAAATACTAATGACGTTAGTTAAACCGAAAAACAATTTTCCACATTTTGATTTAGCTGTAATATTTAACTACAGTTAACTAACTGTAAGTAATGTTGTCATTACATAGATTTATGTTTTACATGCCATTATATTTACTAAATGCATGAGTAGTATTCCATTTAGAGAAAAAAAAAACAAAAAAATGCTTACCTGGTGCATTTAAATCATTTACCAACTGTCGTATAATAATAGATAGCATTGAAGTATATACTGCTGTATCACTCCAGTCGATAAATATTCAGAGAGACACATATAGTTCATATAAACACAGAAATACCCAGAAAGCATTAATAAGAATTGCTCCAAATGATGTTGTTACATTTATTAGTTCTTTGTTTCCTGAATCTATGCCAGATAAAATGGTAACTTTAAAAAGTGATATTTTGGAAAAGTTGGTTGCAGAAAATATTATTATTTCAGAAAAGGATTTCCTACAGGAGTATCATTAAATATTCCACAATTTTTAGATACTCCACAGTTTATAATGAATCAAGTTATTCAAACAGAAGTTATAGCTAAGGCACAGATACATATTGAAAGAGCAATACCAAGAATAAAATGCTATTCCATAATTCATTTTATACTTTTTACTGTGTTGAAGCAAACTAAAATTATTTTTCAATTAGTTTCTGCATTAATCAATCTACAGCCTCCTTTAATTAAAGAAATTCAAGGAAATATGTAGTCTGTTTAAAATATAATCATAATATAATATTGTTAAATGTACATTCTTAATTTTTATTGTTCACAATATGTGAAAAAGTATTAAAAATTTTTTTTGTGCATTGAATATTATTGGTTATTTTTATTTGAATATCATTCTGAATACAACAAAAATAATTAATACCTATGAGTCTATGACTAACAAAAAATTTGAATATATTATGTTTTTAAGGTTCAATAAGTTATTATTTAATATATAAGCTACTAAGTATAAATATTATAGGTTTACTATATTATGTTAATTCAAACCTACAAAATAAAACCAAAAGTATTTGATAAGTATTCTACATACTTTCTTAAAGTTTTTTTTTACCAAGTATTTAAAATATTTAACAGTAAAAGTACCCGAAAAAGGTATTTTAATATTTACTATACCAAAATATAAAACAAGTAAGAAGGTACTTGGTACTTCATTATACCAAAAAAAAAAGTAATTTACCTTAACATCATACAATTTATTTTTCATGCTGGCATGTACTTGATCACTTAATAAACTTATATTAAGTAAATAGTTTAAGTTAACTACAAAACCACATTCAAAAGTTTTTTTTCTTAGAAAATATTTTGTGTTGTTAATAAAAGTAATAATTAAAAATATTTTACTTAATATGCTTTTGTTACTTATGGCAGTAAATATTGCATAAATTTATTTACCAATTTAATGATAAATAAATTGTTTGTTTTACGTGTGACTTGCTTACATGCATGTAAAAAAAGTGGATACAACTGATACAGTCAATTTTTGATGGTTAAAAATTTAAAATATTAAGAAATTAATCTGAATAAAAATAAAAATGATTATTGTACGTTTATGTACTATTTATGGAGCGAACCTGGATAGCAGTTTCAGTCTGTTAAATGTTTTGTTGTGTGCCAATATCAGATCCAGATCTAGGGTGTTATTTAATTGAAAATTACAACTCTTAAGAACAATGATGTTTTATTACGTATAAATAAAGTTCATGTAACTGATACAAAAAGTGGCTGAGTGTTGTGAAGTTGCTCAGGTCTTCGTGGCTCTGGTACATCTGCCCTTGCTGGTCTCTGGACTCCCTTATATACAAAGAAGTCTTTTGTTGTTGTAGTTGACAACCTTCTAATTCATATTAATTCTTGGAATTGTTTTCACACTTGAAAACAACAATCTCCAGGATGTCATCTGTTCTTAATTGGCAATTCGTGGAAATGCAATAATATATTTAAACGACCTCGTCACACGACTGCTATTTTGATATATTTATTATGATGTTTTTTAAAAACAAGATTCATAGAAATATGAATCTACTATCTCGTATATATTATAGTTATTAGGCTACATATATATATTTATATTACTAATGCTAATACTTCTAGCAATATTACATATTATATTATATATACTTATATTATTAACATATCTCGTAGCCCATAACAGTTTCGAAACTCCGTACTTAACAATCATTACTCATTAACGTGATGTTACTAATCAGTAATCGTGTTTAATAAGCTCTTTAAAAATTAATTGTAACGACGGTCGACGGTTACGGGAACGGTTTCGGCTCGTGACGACAACGTTTGAACCATGGTATGAACATTGTGGAAATTTTGATAACACTAGAAACGTAAACAATTTTTGGAAAGATTTGCGGGTTAGGTTGTAATTATTTTAGTTGGTTATTCAGAAAAATTTTGGGGAGAACTATAACAGGAATGTATGCATAGATCGTCTTTGTCGTTGAATATCTACTTATAATCGTTGCCGTCGACGATGTGAAAAACAAATGAGCAAGTAGTTCATGGGCCCCTGGTACTCTGAACTCCCGTTTTTTATGATCTCGATTCTCGGTGTACACTCGGTGTAGTTCCACTCTCTACACCCGCATGCGTGCACCAATATCTACTATCAACATGATATTTTATCAATTATTAATACACGTCCTATTATAATTATTAATTATCATCATAATATTTATTAATATCATCATAATTATTATCTGTTTAGCCTCGAGGCTCCTACGATTGAGTGGTCGGCCTCGATGACTACACCACCGAAAGAATAAATACCAATAATTGTTGAGAACTGCCCAAAGGAGAGGTGACCATACAAAATGTAAATATCTGAGTCGTATTAAAAACCGTATATTATAAAGAATA